GACTTCCACCATAATGGGATGATTTGCACTACAATAGTAACTGGTTTTCGTCGTATCATGTTCCAGCAGACATTTCTGCCGTGCTACGACCTTGAATAAACTAGCGTCCCACTAGCATCGGTTGTTGGGTTATTGTTAAATGCAGGTTCGACTACCACGTTAAGGTGGGTATCGGTCGGTATGTTTCATAAACTAGGCTGCTGGAGCATCAGACTGATACCACTATGGTTATTGGAAGGGAATTGCTCTCCTTTCTTGAAAACTGTGACAATCGATAATTGAGACCAGTCGGAGGGGATGATATATGACTTCCAGTTAACTTTTCAGTTAACCCGAACGGTAATCGTCAACTACCGTCCTTGAAAACCTGTGGTACTAGGCCATTTACCCTTGCTCCTTTCGTACAACCTTCTTCCGCTCCTCATTTCGCTGATAACATGCAAGGTTGCGTTAATGTGAATCTATTATTCAGAGATCCACTAACCTTTTTTAACCAGTTTCTCAGAGTTAGTTAAGTCTCTAACGCTGTTTTTACAGCAGACTGGAGATGGTGGCAAGCTTCTTCCGGTTGAATGATGGTGTTCTGTTACAACCACTATCTAGCCAGTACCCCACTGGAAGCAACCTTTCTGTTTGGAGTGTGGACTTGCACTTGGAATGGTCTTGGTGCTGCAGTTTTTCTACGTCTGTGTACAGACAAACATGCTCGTACTCGAACTACCAAGTGACCATCGTCAAAACATATGTTCCAGAAGGAGCAGCTGCCTTCCGTCAGTTCTATCCATCGATAAGTGATAGCAATGTGGTTTGTCTGTGTTCACCGTTGGGTTGAGATCGGTGGAAGCGACGTCAGGAAGTGTCTGTTTTTGTGTCTGAATTCATGCTGGTTAGAAATAGATGGTTGTCGGAGCACAGTTTTAGCAGGCGATCGTCATCATGTGTTCGTTGAGCTGGTATTCTGAAAGTGCGGCGTATGTGCCTTTCTGCGAGACTTAGTATTGAAGTCACCTGCCACGGTAACCACATCTGAATGTTTGATTTTCAGTAGGAGACTGGACAGTTTTTGGTGGAACTCAGCTTTCGCTTCTTTCAAGCTTCAGTCAGTATGTCCTCGCTAACCCGTTCAGTCAAACAACTCATAGACGACTGTTCAACTGAGATTCAGTGGAACGTTACACTTCCAGCTATACCTACATGTGCAAGACTGCAAGAACTGGCCGTTGAATCTCCAAAAACCCAAAGGATGAATTTTGCAGATTCACCAAATTGGTCGGGTGAGATTAAGTGAATAACTGCACTCGGGTTCTGTATGCGTGCTTCACAAACGCAGCTCACATTTGTGGCTGGTGATGTTGGAATTTTGGCTAGTGGTGCCTGTCATATTTGACGAATTGAAGGCACCTACATCATGCGTTCGAAACTAGGTGGTATGGCTCCGGATCGATCTCCATGGTATAGGCGTTCTTCCACATTATCTTAATCTCTGTTGTCTGGTTCTGCTTTTCCCCTTCTCATCACTCTACCAAATTTAACCGCTTTCTTCTTAATCTCTTCATCTTTTGTCTTGGTGTATTCATCCTTGATGTGCTGATGTGAGGTCTGTTGTTGTTGTTGATGGTGGTGGTGCGGTATCTTCATCACTTCTGTCTTCTCTATATTCACCTGAAGTCCCGTCTTCGCTGCCTCTTCTATCAACTTGTTAGTTTTCTCCTGTAGATCTTCAAGTTTATGTGACATCAGGCACAAGTCATCGGTGAAATCCAAGTCTTCTAGGTTCTTCTCCGCAGTCCAGTGTATCCCCCTCTTCTCGCTGTCTACTGTTTGCTGCATGATCCAGTCGACCACTATCAGGAATATCATGGGGGATAGTAGGCAACCTTGTTTCACTCCTGTCTTCACTTCACTTCAAAAGCATCACTGAGCTTCCCATTGTGAATTACTTGGCCGGCATGTGGTGTCTTCATATAGTTGTTGAATGAGGCGGATAAAGGTTTGCGGTACTCCGTAGTAGTGAAGCAGTTTCCAAATTACTTCTCAGTCGACGCTGTCAAAGGCCTTCTCAAAGTCGATGAAGTTGAGGTAGAGAGCTGATTGCCATTCTATGCCCTGTTCTATGATGATGCGAAGCGTTGCAATTTGGTCCGCACATGATTTGTACTTCCTGAAGCCTACCTGTTCCGGTCGTAGTTTTGAATCCAGTGCATCTTTAGGCCTCTCCAGGATGATGCGGCTTAATATTTTGCTTGGTGTGGGTGGACAGGAGAGTGATTCCGCACCAGTTCTTGCAAACACTGAGGTCTCCTTTCTTCGGCAGTTTGACAAGGTAACCCTTCTTCCAATCGTCAGGTACCTTCTCTTCCTTCCACACCTTCTGCAATAGTGGTGTGAGCATGTCTGCTGTTGTCTCTGCATCTGTTCTCAGTGCTTCTGGCGGTATCCCATCTGGTGCTGCTGCTTTCCCGCATTTCAGTAGCTTTATGGCGTTCAGGACTTCCATTTTCGTTGGAGGATTTATATTCACTTGTAGTTCAGCGGCTGTAGGTGGTATTTCTGGACGAAGTGCAGGTGTGGTGGTGGTCGATTCAAGAGCTTTTTGAAGTGGTCGGCCCACTGTTTCCTTTGTTTCTCTTCTTTCGTAACTAAATTTCCGTCATCATCTTTTATTGGTTTCGTCTGCGTGGATCTCTTCCCTTCCAGATAGCAACCTGGTTATTTGGTACAATGTTGTCACGTCTCTATCTCTCCTACCTGCAGCCTGTTCTGCTTCACTTGCCAGTGTTTCGTAAAAGTGTCTTTTGTCTTTCTGTGCACTCTCCTTCACTTCTTTGTCCAGTGTTCTATGTGTTGTGCTCAGTTCCTCTTGTCGTTGAGCATCCATGCACTGGTTTATCTCCTGCTTCACCATCCTCCTCTCCTCTATCAGCTTCCATGTGTTCGTCGAGATCCATTCTTTGTCTTCTTTCTTCTTCCTTCCTAATACGATTGTGCAGGTTTCTTTCCACATAGCTTTCAAAGACTTCCAGTGTTCTTCCACACAGGTTTCTTCAGGGATGTTCCTCGATATCTCCCATTTTGTCTTGATGGCTGGCTGCCGTGAAGATCTCCTTTGTAGTTTCGTCCTTCAGTTTCCGAGTGTTGTACTTGAACTGTGGTCTATCACCAGCTTCCTTGAAGGCTTTTAACTTGATTTGGAAGGTTCCTTGAACTAGATAGTGAGTGGTGTGAACCTACATCTGCTCCTCTTCTTGCCCTTGTGTCAAGTAGACTGCGTCTCCATTTTCTTGAGATTGAGATAAAGTCGATTTGATTTTTAGTGTAGTGTGTCTTGGTGCCTGGTGAAATCCATGTCGCTTTGTGGATATCTTTGTGCCTGAACACACTGCATCCAATTACCAAATCGTTGAATGCACAGAATTATGCAAACAATTCTCCATTCTCGTTCATCACCTCACCAAGCGCTTCTCGACCCATGGTTAGTTCTCTGCCTGTGTTGTCCCCTCCCAGTTTGGCATTCATGTCGTCCATTAGAATTTTGATGTCGCAAACTGAGGTCTTGTCCAGTGTTGATTGAAGTTGTCTGTAGAATTCCTCCTTTTTCTCTTGCTCTGCATTATTTGTAGGTGCGTGGCGTAGCATTGTATGATTGTGACCTTCCTTCCTTTTCACTTGAATCTTGCTGTCATGATCCTGATCCTGGAGGAGTAGGAGATTGGTTCCCACTGCATGAGAGAGAGCCTTCGATGCTGTTGGAGACATGATGATAACCACTCCATAACTCAGTGTGCTCGTGGTTGTCGTCTGGGTGACAAAATCGGAGTAGATTATTGATTCTCCAGTTGACAGTTTGGAGAGTCCACTCCCATTCCATCTACTTTCGCAAATCCCAAGCACTTCTATGCTATACCATCTCATCTCTTTTGCAATCTGGGCTGTCTCTAGCAAGTTAAGACCCTGAAAAACATTTCCTGCCAGCATTGGTCGCTGAGTTATTGTGATATACAATCGCGGGTAATATGTCTATGTGGCAACTGTTTGTGGAGCAGGAAGTGTTACTTACTCTTGTAGTTGAAAAGGGTGTTTTTCTTCTGTGTTCGACATGTGAACAAATACGGCACACATTTAGTCACTGAATATGTAAATGATTTATTGTATTTCATTGACGTTTTCATGTTTGTTTAGTTCTCTTACTGTTATGTAGGAATATTTCTATTTGCAGCATCGAAGTGTTAGATTATAACAATGTAAAAATAAGTTTTTCACCGGTTATGAGAAGGTTTTCAATATATAGCTATTGTATATACATAGCTATATATAGCTATATATGTATAGCTATTATTGATCACTTCCATCCATATATTATGAAAATGCTTGTTTTTAGTCACTGGTCTTACTAGTTTGTAGTCAGCACCATGATCTAAGTAAATTTTGCTTTAACATGTTCATTTATTAGTCACTTATTAGTTTATTAACGAATGTGAAGTCATAATTACATGAAGCAGTAGATATGGTTGTATGTAATCACCTGGACAACTAGTGTTGTCTTTTGAAGCCTACTTGTTACTCTGACTCTCGACTAACGCGGTATGCTTTGTCTCAGATGTTTGAATGTCATCGACTAGAAGTTCTTCACATCGATTCCTGCTTAATAACACCCATTAACAAGGTCAATATTCAGTACCTCAGTCAAAAACTTTCATCGTTTAACTGTTTACTTTGCCAATCTTTCCTTCTGGAACATAAGTATGCAAAAAAACTACTTGTCCACACACTCACCAAAATAAAAGTAGTCAAAAAATATGATAGTTGCGATTGATATCACCTAACTGCTTATTGTGGGTTTTGATCTTTTTGAAAGGAAAGATTACCTCGAAGTCTCAGATCAACAGTTTTAATGGGTAATAACAAACATATTGCTTCTTGATTGATAAATTCATTCGGTATCTGAAACCAAGCGTCTGTTACATTTTAATTTTGTTTTTTTGTCTAACCCTAATTTCAAGGTCTTTGTCCTACGTCAACTATCACTTTTCATCCGGAGTTACCTACTGAGAAACGAATGTCCATTGAACGCTTGGGAATGCCTAGTAAAGGTTCAGCTACTCATGAAAAAGTTCTACTGCGTTTAAGTGCCCTGAGCACGTTTTCTGGGATACGCAGGCAGCTCATCTAAAATGTCCTGATCCTCGTTTGCATATTCTTAATTTGCATCGTTATGGTAGGTTGATTTTTCAATATTTTTGATAGTTATATATATTCCGTTTCTTTGGGACTTATTTGTATAGTATACACTTGATAGTTTGAACAGTTCCGTTGATAGTGAGTGACGATTCAAGGTGAAATCAATGTAGAATGAAGGCAGAAACATTTTGGTCAGAACATCAATAGGATTACAATGAAACAAAGTAAAGACACTGTTTACACAAACAACAGGGAAATTATAATTAAACAAGGGTTGATCCAAGTGAAAGCGGTGAGTAACGGAATAAATAAGAAATACCTATCACTGAGTATCAGTCACTGACTTGGCAAACTTTACAGTTAATCAGTCAATATACAGGTGGAACCTAGCAACACTGATTAACGATCCAATTTACTATATATTACATCGCCACATCAAGATAGAAGGCAGAATTAAAGGATTATTATTACTAAGATAGGAGAACGAAATGTACTCAAAGTAGAGCAAAGATGAAAGGAGAGGATAAAAAAAATAATAAAACATCATATAGCAATTAGCGTGAAGATAATATGTGGATGTATGTGTATCATTGGGATCGCTTCTGAGCCATGTCATCTAGAGTCTACAATCAATCATACCCCAACCGAGTAGTCCGCATTTTTATAAACGGCTCAGATTAACAGACAAAGACTTCGAAGGTTGACGCCACGTTTTTGCCTGACTGCCTTTTTACCTGTTTTCAGCCTAAACCTAATTCAGCTAACATTATGGGTCGGATAAATAGTATAGTAGGCATACGTAACGCTGATACAATCAGGTCGGCAAAGAAGATCTGTTCGGTTTGATTAAGATATGCTGCAGAATTTTGGGTGAAAGTGGTTGGCAATCGTCTGATGCAACTGATCACCATTCAGTTAACACAGTACCGTGTGAGTATCTCTAGGTCTTTTAAAGTATTTAACAAATAGAGAAGACTGCCAAATTGCCGTGAGTCACTGTTGGCTGAATGAACAGTGATGATGACATATGCGTTCAAAAAGAGTTAGTTACTTTACATTGTTACTAGCTGCGATAATTATGGGTTCTTATCACGTGATCTATTTGGAGTAATGAACACATTGCAATTTATTATAAATATATTTGTAATGAATGTTTGCAAACAAGGATGTCATTTAGTTCCGGTAATATTTTGAGCAAAATTATCAAAACTAAATAACATCATTGTATGTAAACATTCATTACAAATATATTTATAATAAATTGATTCTCTCCTCAATGGACAAGTTTGTCATGGACATAAGCACTACAATTTCGTAAATTTTTTATTATCCAACCCTCCTGATTTCACCATCTACAACTTCCTCCTACTTTCAATCCCTTTATTATTATCATTGTTATCTTTGAGATGATTGGGGATTTTTAATTTGGAGGTAATATTCATCACGGAGTGACATAAGTTGGGAAACCATTGAAAATTCGGGACCACTGGACAGCTGTTTCGTTTTAGTATGGGACTCCTCGACAGTACGCACCCACGACCCGGCTAGGGGTCGAACTCAGGACCGTTAGGTTTCACGGCGAACACGTTAACCATTCAGCCACTGGGTTGGTTTTCAGTGGTTCACAGTTTCCAGCTTCTGTCAGTTCACAATATAGCGCGACTACCACGAAAAGTCTTCAGTTGGCATCTGCTTTTCTTCCGACTGGTTAACCTCACAGGTGACGACTTCGCGTTAAAACTTTGGATATCCACCTCGAAGCACTATACAGTAATGTATTTTGATCCTAGGTTTTCAGTGGTTCTCCAACTGATGTCAGTCGATCGGAACGGAACCGGATGCCAACTGAAGACTTTTCGTAGTAGTCGCGCTATATCGTGAATTGACAGAAGCTGGGAATTGTGAACCACTGAAAACCAACCCAGTGGCTGAATGGTTAACGTGTTCGCCGTGAAATCCAATGGTCGTGGGCGCTTACTGTCGAGGAGTCCCATACTAGAACGAAACAGCTGTCTAGTGCTCCCGAATTTTCAATGCTTTCCCAACTTATGTCAGTCCATGATGAATACTACTTTTAAGTTATTATTATCATTATTACGATTTTCACCCTTATTTATTCTGCGAAATTTCGCTTTCAACTACATAGACAACTATACAATTTGTTCCACTGTTATTTGTCAGGATAGTTGCTTTATTTGGAAGCCTATCGTTTGTTAAGCTTTAATTTCGTTCATTTCCTTCTTGAATAATGCCTGAGTTATATCACCGGTTCTTAAAAAGTGCAACAATTGCCTTGCTCTAACAGCTGAAGAGGAAAACCAAGAAACTAGATGAATTTAATTTCATTTTAAACTACCTAGTTGTCATTTATCAACCGAATACGACACATAATTAATCTATGAATTTCGGAAAATTTGATTCTTCTATTTAATTTCCTTTCTTAATTTTCTTTATTATACATTCGGTATTTATATTTCCTATACTATGCATGCACAAACAGCATGCAAACAGTATCTTGACATGCAATTCCGGCTTGTATATCATAATAATCCAAAGAGCTATGCTGTTTGGAAAAAAGTTTCCTTGAGGTACTATCATACGAGAAAGATCTGCTGCATAATGAATAGACTACAAAAAAGGTTGTTGTTGTAGTTTCAATAACTTCATTATATTGGTCGTCCGTGAACGAGTTTATACTGCTAGCTGGTGTGGATGTGGCAGCAGTGGAACGTTTCCCTTGGATGATCAGCAGTTCGTGTTAGTGCTGCCTGTTTTATGATACATCAGCCCAGAAGAACACATCTCTCTGCTCTTTGTCAATGTCATACGTTTTCTTGTCTGGTGGTAGAACAATCAATTCTGCATCTATAAAGATTATGTGACCAGCCTCAAGCTGATGTTTCTTGGGCTTTGTGATCATACAAAACTAGTCCTGTTTCTCTTTCAGGCACTTTATAAAAGCGAATTCCGGAGTGTTGGCAACCGTCAATTGTCAACTGCCCCTCGCATTTCTGTTGGTACTCAAATCCTATCCTATCTTTATCAAGCTTCAAAAAAGTTGCCTTTTACTCTTTCTCCACATCATCTGGTTAACATATCTGCATCATTTTTAATTCCTTTCAACTTTTCAGCCCTTGATGATGGCTTAAATTCCACGGCAAAGGATCCCTAATCTCCTAAGACCGTACTTCAAACTAAATACTAGAGCTTTCAATGTCTCTATCACCTATCGAATCCCCTACAAAGTTTCACTAACCAAAGCTTCGGATTTCTAGAGATTCGATGACCAGTTCTTGCAGTCTTGCACATGCAGATATAGCAGGAAGTGCACTGTTCCACTGACAGTTGTCTTCGAGTTATTTGACTGAACAGGACTTAAGCTGTAGAAACACCGACGAAGACAGCCGGTAACTCACAACCAAATACTGGAGTAAGCCGGGAGCTCAGGCGAAGGGGCAAAGACTTCATGGATTGTTGTGATGTCTTGATCTAGCCTCTCTGAGAATTCCTTTAACTATCCTACTTCAGCTCAGTTTACACATCGAGATAGATGGTTGGTTAATATGCGCAACACCTTTTAAAACCAACTTAGTCAGTGAAGGTTCACAAGCTCATCGACTGATTCGCTCTGTTTTCCCAGCACTGTTCACCTAACCTCGAAATCGCTCATCCAGTGGTTCCAGTGTATGTTAGCGATATGGTTTAGGCTTGTTAATTGAGGTCTGAAAGAGGGTAGAAATCAGTATTTTTGGACCCTTTCTGACATTCCTGTAAATATGCCCCAATTGTGCAAATGCATTCTTTCTCTATCACTTGAGATCCTAATTGTTTTCATGAACTTTTATCTATTTATTCTCTGTCTCATATTCTTTTGTCTGCCCTGATATCACTTTTTGCTATCCATTTCCTCGTTTTATGGTGCCATGAATCTCAGTAACTGGAGGAGATGCATTTATGTTGATCTCATTTGGAGGTAATTTTCATCGTCAGGTGAAACGATTTGCCTATAAGCTGCGGAAACCTGATTGACTTAAGCAGCTTTCGTGTCATATTGTTGGATTTCTGAAGAGTTCATAAGGTTTTTATCATCTGTTTACCGATCTCTTAAAGTTTCGTGATGAAAACGTATTTAAGTTACCGGTTTCTTATGCATTTAAAGTGATCGGCCAAATTTTTAACCATGCTGAGTCATTGAATACTTTGAAGTGAATGTTGCCGATTAGATCAAAACTAAGAATGTTCGCATCAAAATATGGTACCAGTCAGTGAGATCAGTTGCTATTCTATCTGAGGTGTAGTTTTCTCAGCTCTAAGTCACTTTGTGAGAAATTGACCACAGTGAACTAGACACACAAATACGTCTTATCCTCAGAATTTCTAAGTGATTTTAGTTTTACATTCAGCAGTGTCATTTCTATTGATTTACTCTTTTCTGTGCTCTTTTAAACTGGTAGACTATTGTGCACGATTCTACGTTTTTGTGTGTATATGATCGATCAGTGGTTTCTCAACTTTGACCGGTTTACTGATTTAATTTCCATGTTTTATTCACGTGTACACTATGTAATTTTTTCATTTCACTTATTTAATAGGTAAACCTGGTGTTTTATGTGCCCACCTATGGGGAGGATCAGGTCTCAATCCTGCAGGTCGGACGGATAAAGAGATCGTTGATATCTTATTAGATTTATTAGATGGTATGTATGGACAAGGAAATACTGTCTATCAAGTTACTGGTGAGGATATTAGTTGTAAACAACCGCGAAGTCGTAAAATCCCAGATCCAGTATATTATTTAGTTACCCGTTGGGCAGAAGATCCATTTGCTTTAGGTTCTTATACTACTGGGGAACCAGGAAGTTCAGATGCTGACCGATCAGTTTATGCGAAGAGTTTAACAGGTTACGATGCAAAAAGTCAAATGCAATCGGAACCCACTGTCGAAACACAGGATGGTAACGGTGATACTGATGATGAATTGAAAACCCCACGTCTTCTGTTTGCAGGTGAGGGTACACTCACAGCTAAAGAGGCTAAAGTAAGTGAATAGCTTCTGGTTAATAAATAGTTTTTTCAAAGACAAAAACTAACATTGAATGCAATTCAGCAACCATGTACATGTTTCTGCACCACATATTGCTGTAAACCACTCATTACCTATTGGTTATTGATTCTGGATGATTTATTAAAGGGGAAATGAAAACCTTGACCACATCAGGTTTCCAACTACCAGTTCCGGGTTTTTTTTAGCATACGATCTTTACTGTTTGTCGGCTAGATACCCAAACAGTCTGATTAACCAATGGGTCTTCGGGTTCATTGTCTACTTCATCTACTTCAGCCAAAGTATATGGGTGATATTATAAACCGTTGCACAATACATGTGTCTCAGCCTAATATATGAACGTCTGTATCGGGTGAAGTCACAAATCCCTAAAGCACAGGCATAAAATTAATTGCAATTGGTTGTAACATGTGTCAACACCTAGTTGTTGTTAGAGCGATGGTGGTTAATTTGCACCTTTGACGTTTACTGGTTGTGTTCGATGCACAAATGATTTTTATAAAGCATTTATACCTTCCAGAGTCTTTCCAGGTTAATAGATCACTAGCTAGTTAACAAAATAATGGGGTTTTAGAATGATAGGAGGAGACCAAGGCATTTTATTAATTTTCTGAACTTACCAATGCATTCTAATTTCCTAGTGAGTGATCTTACGGTCAATCATTGAGTAAAATTTCACATACAATATGAAGCACTATGACGTTATGTCAAATAGCCGCGTCAACAATCTTACACAGAAATGCATCCACTCAATCTTATATGCTTCACTAAAAGTACACATATTTAGGGTAAGATGTTAAGTTATAATGTCTACTCTAAACTGACGTCAGTTGTGAGTCATTAATCAAGGTTGATTTTCTTTATCATTCATGCGAGAATAGTACAGAAAGCGAAACACCCTAATCACAACGGGGTTGACGATACTGCTATCCGGCTTTTGCCCTAAATTTCGACCATGTAACCTAATTGGTTGGTATCCGATTGTATAAAACAGTGAGCTGTACTTTCACTGTTTATCAAATATAGTGTCATATACTAATCTATAGTGTTCATTGAAAGTGCTATAGTAGGGAATAAGATTACCACAATCTTCATAATTAACCGGAAACCCCTAAAGCCTTTTTCAACCAATCTTTTTGCTCCGAAATTTCGGGAAAAGACACGTCAACTAACATATAAGTATCGGGTTGGTTGAGGAGACGAAAGATCAATATGATTCAAATCTAGAAAAGCCTGGAACCAGTCAAGGCCATTGCAAATATATTTAAGCCCTTGTATTTTGTACACATTTGTTGACGTTGCAATACACCTGTTGTCGTACCATCTTTTCCATTTATCGAGAAAATGAGCGGTTAAAAAGGGGTGGGATGTGAAGATTATTGTCCAAGTGTCCGCATATATAATAGTCACCACAAGGTTATAAAACGTGATAACAGGGTTATAAAAGTGACATCAAGGACATAAAAGAATGTTGTCGTGGACCAAGTGATATGACGTTGGGGCTAAGTTAAGTAATATGGTACTGTGGTGCATTGTATTTCAAATTAGATGCTTAACAGAGAATCGGTCAAGTGTGATTAGTCTTTGTTTTTTACGACAGCGGCTAGTAAGTTTTATTTGCTGCCGTGAAAAAAAGATTAAACTCCCTCACGCTTGAACTCTGGTGTCATTAAATGCCACAATGGACAAGGGTTATGTGTCAACTGATTTATTTTTCTTTCAAACAAATAGTTAGTTGTTATCGAAACAGAAGTATTCACATTCATTATGTAATTTTTAAAAGTGTAAATTCTAGTTAGTGGTTTAACTCTTGTTTTTTTCAGTTATGTTTATTCTTTTGTCTTTCATAGGAATGCACTCATGGAGCTTTACAGACGGGGATTGCACGAGCTATTGAATTGCTTCCTTATCTTATGAAATCAAAATCTTCTCTTCCTGATCCACATGTGATTCGTGATTTAGAAATTGTACAATCTCATTCACGGTCTAATTTTTCAAGCTTTAGTACTAAACTTGCTAGTTACCTGTTTGGAAAAGTGCAATTAAATCGTTTATTAAACTGTAATATAGCTAATGGTAAACAATTTCATCGTGTCATTTTAACCCGTTCCACCGAACGACCTTCAAAAATCTCATCTAACATTAATGAAGAATTCCAATCCAGACTGGACAATAATTTTATGAATACAACTTCAAGATTATCTCGTGGTTATCGTCGACGTTATCATAGTTCATCTAACTCCTACTGGGATTCAACTGGTGAAAGTTCATGTAACTGCTGTTCATATTCTCATCCTAAAAGTTCACGTGCTGGACGTAGAGGAAGAAGTAGTAGAATTTACAATGGTCGCGGAAATTTTAATGCACAGGTTTTAGATACCCCAATCATAAAGCGCCCACGTGGAAGGCCTCCGAGTAGACAAGGTCATGCGGCTTTATATGCAATTTCTAGAGCTCATGTGAGTCGTTCCCTATTTATTTTTCATTTATTTGGATATAAATATATAACATTGATTTAGACAGTTGACTTAGAACCGGTGGGTGATGGTCTAAATCACCGATCCGTCTATCAAGGTTTGAGGAGCTAGGTAGTAGCCCTCACACAATTAGTATGGTTCATCACCTACTGCACGAATGTTCACAAGGTCGCTGAGAGCATTTTCATTTCGAATATCTTGTCTGCATAATTTTGCACAGCAAAAAATAGAAGTCCAAGTTCTAGTGATAACCCCATCCTGATGACTTTCTGGAATCCACCTTATGGGTTTCTTTTAAGAATTTTGTAGTATCTTTACTAACAGGTTGTTTAGCGGTCAGGTTATATTATTATCTGTCACACAATAGGTGTGGTTCATCGTCTACTGCACAAACTTGGCTACTACGTTGTATTTCAATTTTTCTCCGTGAGTATGTGTTATCGATACCTATTTAGTATTTCTTTATAAGATTTTCAATCATGCCAAAATTTTCCTGAAAGAGGTTTAACATTATTTATTGTGACAGGAATTTGAGAAAGATTCTCATTTGAAGAATATATTAATCATCACAACTGATCACATCAAGCGACATTTTTGACTCGGATTATAGTTATCTGGCCCGAAGACTGATTCAAATTTTCTCCTTTACATTGCTTTTTAGTTCTTAAGTGTTATTTTATTTCTTTTTGGAAATAATAATGCATAAGGTGTTGAGATTTACTATGAAGATATGGCTTCATTTTATTTTGATGACAACGCATATAAATGAACCCGATATGTATTCCGATTCCGAATTATTTTTTTTCAGCGTCATCTAAGAGGAATTCGTCGAGTGTATAAGACGTGTGGCAGAGAATCTTCACGTATGCCATATCAAGGTGTAACTCGCCCTTCAAGGGGTAGAAGAGGTAGACCACGAAAGAATTTTGGTCGAACTTTTGAAACAACCGGCACAAGTTGGGGTGATATGTTATCTGAAGAAGATAGACAGGAAACACTGCTTCAGTTATCGAATTTACTTAATGATTTCCGTTCTTCACAGAAACCAAAGCATGTTTGTGTAACCATTCCTCAAGAATTATGTCCAAGTAATGAGTTTGTCGTTATTAACGATATTTCCTCAAATGAATTTATGCTTCACAAAGAAGAGAATAACGATCATGTTCAGCATTCGGTACGTGTAATTTTGTTTGATGAGAATTTTCTCGCTTTCTTTTTGAATATTCTCTACAGTGCAATGGAGGAGAAATAAATCTGGGCCATGACCAGGATTTAAACCAATGAACTTCGGATCCTTTTGTGATCTCACATCAAGACTAGTCTGTCAATCCGAGAATATTTCAAATAGTCTCACTGACAATTTGGTTTTGTTCATTTATATCGGGAAAAGTTTTCATACTAGGAAAAGTGGGAGGTTCAAACTTCACTCTTGTGGTCTCCCTTCACTGTTGTCATCAAGTTAGCTGACTGTAGACATTACTGCATTCATAACCAATGTAACTTGAAACCAAATTGTCAGCTTTAAATTGCGTTGTATTTCATAAGAGAATGAGTTGTTTATCATAAGCTTTTACACACTGCATGAATATTTACATATGGTTATCAAATCGTATTTCCTTTCCCCAAGTGTTACACATGAATATCTTCCACTACATTTTTGAAATATTCTGGTTTGCCGGTTATTAGGTTTGATGTGATTATTCTGTTAAATGTTACTGTAAATCGAGAACGCAAAGAGAGATATCAACCAGGTTAGTTTACGTTTGGATGTAGGGGATTCAAGTAAGAAAAGCAAATCAGTTCATTTGATTGTGAATCTTTTTTGACTGATGTGGCTGGAGTGTGTATTTTAATGTCACATTTTTTAAAATTTCGTTCTCACCTCTTCTCCTTTGCCTCATAACTGTTTATGACCTCTGATATTATCATCACTATTACTATTATTATCATCATTTCTGTCTCTTGCTATTCTGGATTACACCTATGTGCAGGCTGATATGAGGTTTGACGACTTGGACGGATACAAAGTTATGCCAGATCCTGTTTTGTTCATGTCTATGCTACACCTTTAGTCTTTTGACAGATTTGTAAGGTTTGGGTAAAACTAGTTTCGAAGCAATCGTTCCACAGATCGATGCTGACTAGTACGAGAATTGTTGAAAATAAATCTAATAGTTATTGTATTAAATTGGGTATTGAAGAGGCTATAGAAGCCGTAGACCTTTGTCTCCTCCTTTTCGGCACTTACCAACGTAATGTATGTGTACACATTGAGGAAACATGTTCTTCAATGAAGTCAGATTCGTCTTACTCTGGTTTCCAATAACAAACTCTATTACTGAGTTATTCAGTTCGCCAATTTCGATTCATTCAGTTCATCACATTACATACTTGTTCAATAGACCGGATTATTCTACATTGTAACTCGTTGGTGTATTCTACCCAGTTGTGCATACGGTAGAGATGTGACTCATTAGCTTCAACATAAGACTTTCAAGCAGTGGGTTAAAATTCCGGTTCCACCTACTTCAACTTGGGGAGTCGCGCAGTATTACTAGCCACCACAAAATGTGTGATTCTTAAACACATGTATCGGGTTGAGTTTCATTTAGAGTTTAGTTATATAGTGGATTAATTTTGGTTCACAAATCAGTAATCAGACACAAGTTTTTTTTTTTTGTAAAATATGAATTACACTTAGTGTGTGATGTTTTCTAGTACTTCATCAAGAGAAATTGAGTGGGTTTTAGACTCGCAACTCTATTGGTCGGTGATTAGAAGCTTAGACCAATCTGTGACATTTCGGAAACCTTATCGATCGTATTACTAACTGGTTTGAATCACCTTTAAAAATAATGAAACCGGTAAATGCAAATGTTTTATGAATCTGTATGGTTTGTCACTTGTAAAAGTTATTGTATAAGTCTTTTTTAGAATGTCTGTACTGTACAGTAATCGGCAGTGATATGATAATATGTTATAGTAAACCATCTTAATTCTTTTAATACTGTACTAATTGGAAAAGTTCCATTCCAAGCTAGATAGTTTAAAACTGTGAATAACAATAATACTAGGTTTTATTTCGATGTTTATTTAGGTGAACGTGCTAACACTGGGAGCTTAGACTTTGATAAACGGTTAAGTCACTTCTTTTCTACCCTCGATTTTCATTCCATAACAGTTTGAATACTGGTTCTAGAGGTGTTCTAGCTCAGGTCTAGGTCGAAAAACACATTTTAATTAGCAGTAAGCTTCATTAGTCAAAACTGTTGGTGATATCTAATTCACAAGAATTAACACCTATTTTTAAACGTAAAAATTCAATTTCCCCTTTTCACAGTTTTTCCTGCTCTTCATGAATCATGAATCTGTATGATTCTGTTTATGTATTAGTTCTACTGTCATTTGTAGTGATGATACTTCAATCTATCTGCTCAAAGAATATTGTTACTGTATGTGTATAAACTAGAAAGGTGTAAGTGTATGCGTGCTCACGACTCAATATACATTCTCAACTGTTATTGTTTGCCATATATTTGCCTATATCAGGATGAATTCAAACTATTCTGATTTTTTTACTCTTTTTTTGGGTTATTTAGGACTCGTTGACCCAAAAGGATACCGATGAAACACAATAATGCTTCTCCTGTGAAACAAATGTATATAATGTACTGTGTACGGTATTTGCATATATATATAGTTATTTTTAAATCCAAATGATGATTATTGTAATGTTTCTTTTTGTTTCTCTCTTTCCTGCCTGTTTTATCAGTTTTGAAAGAAATTCTTCATATTGCTTTGCATTTTGAAGGTTTTCAGATTCTCTTTTATGTTGTACTTTCACAAATGTGTATTGTGCGATTGATGCTTACTTATTTTTTCTTAACAAGAAATCATAAGACAAATCAATGAGTTAGAAACAAGTACAAACAATTTTTTATTACTTGTATAAGTGTATGTGCACACACAAACCTACACCTACATTATCAATGTTTTGTATAGAAGAGACTTTTGTACTTGGTTTTTATGTTATATTTGATGATAGGTAGTGATAATATGATAAGATTTTGTGCTCATGAAAGTGTTTTCATAACGGTTTTCACCATGCATTGCTATGAACTAGAGAACTATAGGCGTGAATTTATTGCCTATTGCACGTGATGGCTAAGTTAAGTTTCGTTTGTTTCTTCTCAATACTAAGAACAGTACATTCCTTTGCTCTGGTTCAGGAGGGGTGATGACTTCTTCATTGGCCTTGAAACGCAAGATGGACTTAGTGCACAGTAGAGCGTGATAGAAATTTACGCCAATACTCCAGTAGGGTTGGCAGCTCTGAATATATTCACGCAGTCGATATCTCGATCAGTTAATATCAACATTACTGCTTAACGGTCCAAGTTGCCGTTGTAAGATGAAAGACGGAGAAATGTAGAAGGAAGCAACCAAAAGTGATAGAAAGTCGTGAAGGGAGAGCAAGAAAGGATGAAATAGTAATGAAATTCGGTCAGACAGTAAGCATGAAGATAAAAAACAACTGAGATCGACACTGATCCATGTAACCTAGAGTCTTCAATCACTGGTCTCTGTTGTCACGTGGACCCTAACTAGGGAGTCTATGTTTCTCTACAACGATAAAATCAACAGTCAAAGACTTCATGGACTAATTTCATGCTTCAATTCAGCCACCGCTAAAGTTTTTTGAATTTCAACCTTCATCTGCTAACAATGTGCGACGAGGTAAACGGCTGCTGGACATACATACTACATGTTTCAGTCACTGTGAGTAAAGCTGCTCGAGGCTTGAGAGGTTTCAGTAACGAAGGTCAGGTATCCATGAGTTTTTTGTAACTTCTAGATGCCCATTAACTCGATTATTTTCGAAAGTTAAATGCACAATATGGGTGTAAAACTTGGTCACTGTCATAGGAATTAATTCCATATTAGATTTGTTCATTTGATTTATAACACACGCTGATCTAGTATTATTTACTTGATGATGTTTCGAGCATAAATTATTGCTCATAATCATATCAATGCACAAACGAATAAGCAACATCTGCCCAAGGAGTACGTCTCTTTTCGGAGCGTAGGATTGAAGTGGAAGTGACAGTTGCATCTGATGATAACCTGAAGTTGTTCCAGTTCGTCTGATCCACTGGTAGCAACAAGCCTTGTTGAAAATACTACTATTTATCGAAAATTCAACCTTGTATGCTAGTTATTTGTTTCCAGTCACGCTGATTCAATAAATTTGAAAATCCCTCGAAATTCTAAACCTGACTCCACACAGTCGCTTCATGTGTGAATAGTTTGCAAGGTCACTTAGCTAAAACTTGTATAGACTCGTAGACTTTAGTGCTGTTTGTCATCAGTTCGATGTTAGGTTTTGCATCAGATTAACGTGTCTAGGGCCTAGGTTTTGTATAACTGTCCGAATGTTGAGTTTGGAATTGCATTGCGTTCTTGAATATGAATCATACTAAGTCTGGTGTCAGTGGGATGTTATGTGAAGTAGGGGGTTTGGACACTGACCTTGAAAGGCAATTAAGCTGGCATGCTAGGCTACCAAATTTAACCTTAGTTTCGTCTGCTCTGACCTACTTAAATTGGAGATTTAAAGAGAACAAGTAGTGAGACGTCTTGAATTGCAAGAAATAAACAAATTATGCCTTTGAAGAAGGTGAGACTACGTAGGAAATTCATTAGGTCATTGGAAAAGGAATAATGGGATGAGGGATACTCATCTTTCAAAGCATCCCAGATATATTTGAAAATGAAACCGATCAGTTTATTATCATCACCCTCAGTATAATTCTTTTTTCATCTTTTTTACGTATATCAATTGGATAACCAAGTAATCTATTTCACATCTATAAATTTCCAGCTTGTAAACTTCTTTTCAGTTTCTACTTGCATTTTCTCATAGATTGTCAACCATGTAACTTCTTTCAGTCTCTAGAAGCCACTTTTTAGTGTAGTTCTAAATTTTAATTAAGCGATGTAACTTCAAGAATAAGGATAGTAGACCGATGGCCTATACCAATCCTTCCTATTTGTAGTACTATTATGATCCGCTTTCAGTTCCAGCAGTTCACAAGAAACGTATTTCCAGACGTAAACGGTTCGACTATGGTTTATGGAATTTATGATAGTATCTATCCTCTAAGGTGAACAGCTGATTAGGCACAAATAAATAGGAAGTAAATCATTATTCAAGACAAGGAAAGTTAAAACGACATCACTTCTGTCCTACGATAGGACCGTGAATAAAGACCTCCATCGACATCAACTTAGGACCAGGCATTACTGCGTAACGGTCCGAGTTGCCACAGCTCATATCAGTACATCAAGTAAAAAGCCAGTGAGGCACAAGACGAAGATAAGAAAATTCAGTCAAAAGAAATATAAAGTACGAAAAGAGAGAAAGGAAGAATGAGAAAGTGGTGAGATTCGGTATGGCGTCGTTAAGATGAGGATAATGTATGTATACATCTGCGCCACTGATACAGGTTCTAAGCCATATCATCTAGAGTCTCCAACCACTGGTTCCTCTTGTCCCGTGGACCCCAACCACCTAGTGTGCATCGCCCCACATGGCTCAAACCAACAGTCAAAGACTTCATACGTTGGTGCCATATTTTAATCTGGCCACTTCGGACCCTTTCCCAGCCTGAACCTACTTCGGTCAACATTGTGTGACGAGGCGATCGGTGACTAGGCATACGTAATACGTGTCTCAACCATTGCTCACATCTAGTGGGACCACCGTGTGAGCAGTGCTGAGGTCAAACGAAGGGTACTAGGCAAGTAACGCAAGTCGACTGATGGGTCGCGAACCTTAGTCTACTGTGATGGCTCGAACATGTACTGTGCATGCAGACCCACTGCCTGCCTCGACGTGCAATGCTAGCGGAAGTTGGATTAGGTTAGACGACAATTCAGGGTGGCCACACCAAGATGTGGCATCAGTCGATGAAGTCAATTACCCATGGTGTGGGCAGTGTAGGGAGATGTAGATTGCCTAGTTGGGATCATCGAGCCAGCACGAATCAGTGGTTGAGAACTCTTGATGACGTGGCTGAAAATCGGTCACAGTGGTGCAGATGTATTCACTCCTTGACATTTTCAAGAACTTGAATACTCGCATGAATTCTTTACCTTCATATTGTATACTCTTCGTCAACTTTGATATCATTCTTTCCCTATCTGCCTGTTTTTTGTGCACTTCTGCAGTGTGGTAGTTTGAGCCGATGCACCTGTGTGTGGAGTCCTACATTGATTTTGTCAGTCAGTCACCTCTCAAATTCTTTACAGGGTGTTATTATTTAATAGCCAGTCCCACTTACTGTAGTTTTTGGGGGTTGGGATAGTTTTTTTAGGCTTTATAGCAAATGTATGGCTCGAGGCTGTTGAGCACATTTCTATTTATTTATTTTGATAAGGAAGATTCAGAATGAAATCAGAGAAAAAGCAGTCAGCATTAAGTGCTTACAAATGAGCCATAGATATGTACATAAATAAAACATCAGCTTCTGTATTATGAACGACCATCACTTGTTTCTGACTCAAACAACTTAATCATCCAACCAAAATGCAATGTACGGTTTATACAGTTCATATGAATTCAATGAATCACTATCAGCATTTTCTGAAGTCTCGTGCAAGGCACTATTAGGACCAAAATGATATACACAACCTGTCTGATTGACAACATATAAACCTTGGCATAAAATTTCACCCAAATCTTTAGATGATAACTGGTAGTTATTACTGTTAGTACTATTAGTATTAGCCAATGGTCCAAAACAAAGCGATGTTATACGTGAATTCTGATTGTTGTCTGGAAGCTAAGAGTGAAACAAAAATAAAAACAACATAAATTCGGATAAGTTAAATGAAGGTAACAACACAAAAGTTATTCACGTGACTCAAATGCTTAATTTTCATGATGTTGGGTGTTAAGAATCGATGAGTAGGAAGCTGTGGTCCTGGATTTCACGCTTATCGGCATTCACCTCAAAGATATATCTACATCATTGACAGAAACCCATGTTCCTGCAAGGATTTCAGCCTGCATCGTTCAGTGATGAAGCCACAGAGTTTACAAAAAAGCTGTTCAGGCCACGAATTGTAAGCCTAAACACAAACTGACTGTCGAATAGTAACCTATAGAACTGTTAGGTTCTTTGAACTGTTCAAGGTCTATCGATCAGCTGGTCTAGTGACTGCATAGTAAAGTTGGTCGATAGGCTTCAGTTGGTGCTAAACAAGTGCTATACAACAACTACATCGGTTTCCTTCCGGTAAATTACCATAATTAGTAACAATAACACTTACGGAAAGAAAAATAAAAGTACAACTAGAATAGGTCAGAGGACAACACCGGTCATGAAACCATTGGTTATTAACCTAAGCAATGTAGGGAATCGTAGGCTTTTAGGTTACATCTTTCAAGAAAGTCGGAATTGGATGATTTTTGAAGGTTAACTACATTTTATATGAACTATGATCAGGATTTGACCGAATAGTATCGCAAATATTGGGCACTGAGTACATGGTTGGCATTAGATAAAAATCGTAAGTCACAGCGTTTTTGAAATAAAATAATTCCGTTTTCAAGGAAGTTTGGTCCGAGCTTCTTCAGGGAAAGAAGCTCCATCGTTGAGTAGACTCACTACTTATCTTCCTGTAAGTGCTGATAATCTCATTGCTCTTCATTTCGTTACTCTTTTTCCACTCATCTCCATACTAATTTGGTGGTTTTTAAAAGCTTACGTAGTAACTCGAACCGTTGTACTGTTTTGAGGTTTGAGCATTTGAAGATAAATACTTTGTAGCATAATATGGATCTAGTCAAATTGTAACATATATATTATCAGTTCCAACTAATTTCATCTATGAAACAACTTTTACCAGAAAATATAGATATCTGAATTTTGAATTTAGATAAGAGTAATAAGTGCAGTAAGGCCACTTTCAGTGAGAAAACTGGGTCGACAGTTATCGGAACACAGTAATGTCACGCATCTAGAAGAAGCTTGGTGTCATCTCCAGTCTGCTGTAAAAACAGCGTTGAAGACCGTAGCTGACTCTCAGGGAGTGGTTAGAAAGAGTCAGTGGATATCAGCAGCTGGTGGATGCACGCGAACGCATCCCTGAAGGCTCCGAGCACAACGAGAACAGGAAGTAACTCAAATGTAGTCTACACAATAATCGCGAACAGTGGTGGGCAGAGAAGGATAGAGATGGAAAAGGTGGTGGAGATAGTTAACAGTAGACAGTTATTTAAACTTATTCAGGAAACTTGGGTAAAAGGTCAATGGTTAGCGAGAGTATAGCTCAGAAGGATGAGTCTGCGATTTGCTAGCAGGAGAGATGACTGGAACGATGAACAGAGCACTTAGAAGAACGTTTAAACTGACCCCTATCTACTATTCTGTTGTCCGATATCCAATCGGAGCCCGAATGGAACATAGAGGCAGAACTCCCAACACTTGCAGAAGTCGAAAAAGCTGGAGGTAACTTGAAATGATGAAGAGCAGCAGGGCCAGAAAGTCTAGTTCCAGAGGTATTTAAAGATGGTGGTTCGGGATTTTTGGTCAAGTTAAATGAAGTGTTAACTAGTGTGTGGGAGTCAGGTACGATCCCCTCTGGCTGGTCTCAATCACTGATTGTCCCATTCTTTAAGTAAGGCGAGATGTCTTTCTGCAACAACCACAGAGGAATCAACCTGATGGATAGTGTCTAATATTGTAGGTTCTATAATCAGTCGAAGTCTGACTGGAGCTCAAGAACAGAGAGTCCGAGAAGATCAGGAGGACTTCAGACCTGGTCCTGAGTGTATCGAACAGATTGGGGTGTACTTCTGTGTAAAAACTCAGTTGGAATGGTAGAGTTCTTCTGTTGATGATAACTACAATATGCACTTTCAACAGATGATGTGGACTTTGTTAGTTTGATTCTTTATCCGTTAATACTTATGGATTATGTTGTACAGCATACTCAATGGTGTGCAGTTTGTCGATGAAACACTCATGGGCAGGACTTAATTGACCCGAGTAGCTGCTCACTATGGATAGAACTTCTCTCCACTGTAGATTGAAATATACTTTTTGTACTCATAACTTGTGGGCAACGGGTTTGTTACTATCATATAAATCCAACCAGACAGAGCAGAACCAAAGTACATCAACTCAAACTTATGGGTCAGCAGGAATGTAGGCTAAGATTCAAGGTAAAAGAGACTTTTGACTGATGAACTTCTGAATGAAATGCAAACCAACGCTCATATTGATGCTATAGTTTGACCGACATGTATCCCTATGTATTTGACTCCTACTGAACTGATTTGAATTTTTTCAAATTTTTATTGTCATGTTAGTGGTTGAAAGTGAAATTCAATTGTATATTGCACAAATCATCATTGTTTCTAATTTAACAGGAGTCTACCATTATCCTTAATAGAAATCGGTTGTTCAGCTAACCGTTCCGTTCATTTTAAGACTAATTAAAGTCGATGATAATAGGCCTAACCACTGAGCAGGCAAACTTGAAGTTATGAGCAGAGTTCCAGGCAAGAAAAGTAATTTAGTAAAGGACACTAAGAATTCGCACCGAGCTGTGCATCTTACATGAGCACTACGGATCCTGAATCCTTATCTCCTTACACGTTTGATGACGGCCATCAAACATGTGTATGCCTTTCCAACATCGCCTGAGATGTTGAATTACAATAACATTATAGTGCAAAGCCAATTCCCTTTATCCATATGTAACAGTTTACTGGTCTGACACACGAGCTTTCGAAAAAAGAAGGCTGTTAGCTCAGTCAGTGATTTCATCTAGGAAAAGAAATAAATTTTATAAAACAATGTGAATGCTAAATAGTACAGGTCGAATAGATACTCCTAAAAACTTTAGTTCTTACAAGATATGTGCGTACTGTATCCAGTGTCCACGAATTCAACCACACTAGACGGCCACCTGGACCACCCAGCAATAAACAGTTCACACCTCGACCCTCAGAAACACTTGAAAAAGCCATTGGGACAGGTGGATGAATATCGGAGATTTGTGAGTAAGGAAAATCCACCAACGGATCATTGATCTCTGCCATAAAATCTAAAATACGTGTGGCTATACGAACTCCAGAACAGGCATATACACCAAGCCAACAAACTATAAATAATGCAAAAATAGGGAACACAACAATGAATTTAACAAAGGGAAGTGAATTATTTTCATTATTACAGTATGAACAGAGTCGAGCATAATTTGTGGAAGATACAAATCTGAAGTAAACTTCATACCATCGTGAACCAATGTAGTATTTATAAACATTCCATATCGGGGTGTAACCATGGACTGTCAAGTACACAGGTAGTTAACCGTCAATACTATAGGAACTATCAAACTATATGTATAAGTCGACATTTCCGCACTTCATACCAGTCACTCACCCTTGGTAGTGAGCCGTTGGAATTTGTCGAAACGTCTGTGAGTAGGGTAATGATTGATGTTAGAAGTATGATTGATTAGGTTTCTAACCGCATATCAAAGGCCAGAACGACACACTGCAATCTGGGTCACCCTTGGCTCCGTCGTGATGTTAGTCCAGCAGTAAAAGGTTGTATATATAACAAGTCGAGGAGAGCACTTATGCTCCACGTCTGTAAGACCTGAACTTTCCAAGCTGTAGATGACAAGTGACTGCATTTTTGATCACCATTGCCTTTATAGGGTTGCCAGGATCCAGTGGAAACACGATACAAGCTATTATGAGTTAAGGGTGTGTCTGGGCTTGTTCTAGATAGTCATTCATTGAGTAAGGTTAACTTGAAACAATGGCTTCAACGATCTGAAAATGCAGTGTGTATGCTGTCTCAGCGGCTCCGACGTTTGCTGACTGTTCCCTAAGACTAGTTGGAAAAATAGGGAAGAAGATAAGTCTATAAGATGGCGCCTCGGGATGAATGAAAGTTGAGTTAGTGATATGGGGATTATTATTATGTTTCCCTTGGTTTCCCAGTGGAACATATGGCTTCAGTAGCACGTCTCCATTCCACTCTCTTCTATACACTCTTTTCAACCTCGCTCCACCAATCCCCACAAACTTTCATTTCTTCTTCACACAATCTCCTCCATATCACCCTCGCCTCGGACGCCCAACTCGTCCTTTCCCCTTTGTGTTCCATTCGACGGCCTCACCTGGTGCGTGATGTCTCCGAATGGTCTTCTCAGTGTATGCTCAATCCAATCCATCTCCACTTTCTTCTGCATATTTGTTGGGCGATAGGTTCTTAGTTGGTTGGTTCGTTGCCCAACCAGACTTCCTTGTTGCTTGTTCTTATTATTCTGGACATCTGATCTTCAGTGTCAGTATCGAGTGACCGTAGGCGTAAGCTATTGATGATGAATGTCTGCAGTTTGTTAGAAGTGCTTTTCGTGACACTCCAAGTTTCATCACAATATAGAAGCAGTGACTTGACTGAATTAGTCTTGAAAATCCAGATGTTGTTCACGCTTTATGCAGAGTTAAGTGGATTAGATCTCCACACTGGTTTCAGATTGATGAAGACCTGTCTTATTGTCTTTCCGATCGTGGCTTTGACATCCTCATGTGTGCCGCCACCTGTAGTTGAAGCGATACAGCCTAGGTGGTAGGTGAAAGAGACTACTTCCTTTTGGTTTCTCCCGTTCATGGTCATTGGTCCTTGTTGTTGATGCTGTTGGTGGTTGGGTATCTTCATCACCTCTGTCTTCTCTACATTCATCTGAAGGAAGTCCCGTTTTCACTGCCTCGCCTCACCTCTACAGTCAACCTGTTAGTTATCGCCCGTAGATCTTTGAGTTTGTGCAACATTAGACATAAATCATCTGCGAAATTCGAACCTTGTAGTATCTTTTCATCGACTCAGCGTATGCCCATCTTCTCGCTCCTCATGGTTTGCTGCATGATCCAGTCGACCACATTCAGGAAGATTATCGGTGATAGTAGGCATCAACCTTGTTCTACTCCTGCCCTCACTTCAAAGGCATCACTGAGCTTTCCATCATGTTGTGGATCACTTGGCAAGTGACGTCGTCATATAGCTGTTGAATGAGGTCGAAGCAACTGCAAAATTACTTCTCGGTCGACACCGTCGAAGGCCTTTTCAAAGTCGATGAAGTTGAGGTAAGGTAAAGAGTTGACTGCCATTCCATACTCTGTCCTATGATGCGTAGCGCAGCGTTGCAATTTGATCCACACATCATTTGTTCTTCTTGAAGCTAGCCAACCAACCAACCTGTTCTGGTCATAATTTTGAATCCAGAGCATCCTTTAGTCTTTCCAGAATGATGTGTCCTAATATTTTGCATGAGGTGGGTGGACAGCAGCATGACTCCACCACAGTCCTTGCAAAGACTTACGTCTCCCTTCTTTAGGAGTCCGCTGGTAAAGTAGTACTTCATTCGATCAACTTTCCTGTCTCTCTTCCAAACCTTCTGCAATAGTGGTGTGGTGTGAGCATGTCCACTGTTGTCCGTGTGTCTGTTCTTAGTGCTTCTGGAGGGATTCCACCTCGTCCTGCTGCTCTCCTGGATTTCAGCAACTTCATGGTGTTCAGTACTTCACTTTCCCTTTTTTCGGAGAGCCTGTGTTTACTGATAGTTCTCTGGCTGGGCTGATGGTCGTATTTCTGGACCAGTTGTAGGTGGTGGTCGATTTAAGATCGTTATGGAGTCCTCAGACCATCGTTTCCTCCTTTGTTTCTCCCCTTGTGTAACAAGCTTTCCTTCACCATCTTTTGCTGCTTTCATCTGTGCTGCGTTGGTCTCCTCCCAGATAGCAATCTCGTTATTTGATATAATGTTGTCAGCTCTTTCTCTCTCCTACCTGCAGTCTGTTCTGCCTCACTTGCAAGTGTGTGGTAGAAGTGTCGTTCATCTTTCTGCACACTCTTCTTCACTTCTTTATCCAGTGTAGTGTTTCATACGTTGTACTCAGTTCCTATTTTCCTTGTTCATCCTTGCACTGCACTACACTGCACTGCATTGCACTGCTTCATCTTCTGCTTCACCATCTCCCTCTCTCTCCTCTACCACCTCCCATGTAGAGATCTGTCGAGATCCATTCCTTCTCTTATCTTCTTTCTTCTTCCTTCCTAACACGGTTATGCAGGTTTCCTTTCACCTCACTTTCACAGAAGTCCACTCTTCTTTCACACAGTTCTCTTCACGAATCTTACTCATTGTCTCCCATTTCGTCCTCATGCCCCACTGACGTGAAGATGTCCTTTGAAGTTTCGTCCTTCAATTCAGTTCAGTTCAGCTCAGTCCAGTTTCTGTGTGTTTCTCCGTGTCCAACTTCAACTGTGGTCGTCTATCACCAACTGCTTCTTCGAAGGATTTCAGCTCGATTTTGAAGGTAGGTTCCTTGCACTAGACAGTGAGTCGACTGAACCACCCACACCCCCTCCTCTTCTTCATCTGATTTTGTGTCCAGTAGGCTGCGTCTCCACTTTCTTCACATTCACATGAAGTCCATCTGATTTCTAATGTGTCTTGGTATCTGGTCGAATCGAATCCACGCCGCTGCCTTGTCAATATCCTTGTGTTTGTACACACTGCTTGACTCCAATCACCAAATCGTTGAATGCACACAAGCCTGCAAACAGTTCTCCATTCTCATTCCTCATTCCTCAACGAGTGCTTCTCCACCCATGATCACTTCTCTTCTGTGTTATCCCCTCCCAGTTTGGCATTTTGATGTCGCCATCTGAGGTGGAGTCTTGTCCAGTACTGATTCCAGTTCTCTGTAGACCTCCTCATTCTTCTCTTCATCTGCATTATTTGTAGGTGCATAGTGTAGCGTAGCACTGTATGATTGTGACTTTCCTTCCTTTTCACTTGAATCTTGCTGTGATGATCCTGAACCTGCAGGAGGGGATCGGCTTCCACTGTAAGAGAGAGAGTGTTCGATGTTCTTGGATATGGGGATAGAGAGAAATAACTAGTCTGGAGATGGACCTGTCAAAATGTACTATATGTTATCACTTCTATAGTTAGACAAACAGATGGTTGATCAGCCAATCGATATTATTATTTCAAACAGCGAACTATCTATATATTAGCTGTATTTTCCTTTGTCTTTGGCATCGATCTTTCGATCCCAATACACAGTTCTACATGTTCATGATTTCTTCTCGCGTCGGGAGTCAACTAGGAATTTGTTGAATGTTGGTGGCTGACACTTGATATGTATGCATCGTTAGCGGCCATAGCAGTTTGAAGACCATAACAAATAACTAATCCCCTGTTGGTGCCTCACGACTCCCTGAATGGGCTCTGAGAAATCGCGAAACCCAATGGTTTAAGATGATAGAAGACATCATTAAGAATCGAAACAATTGCCGATCATGCTATCACTTTCTTGTTTTTTCTATTACTGAAAATTAAAACGAAAGTAATGAATGCCTCAATGGATTCACCCTGTAAATTAAATTGGGGAAAGATATAACCTTTGGATTCAAAAGAAATTTTTTCAACCACTTTCATTACCTTGGCTATCAACATGATGTAATTTTTAGTACTATTTTATACACCTCTCCCCCTCTCTACTATCAATATCCATTTACTTTCTGATTCTTACGTAATTATTTGTTGTTTTGTAACTGACCATTCAACAAAAATAACACTCCATTTACTTTACCAGTTACCACGCACTTTACCTATGAATAACCTGTTTCACATTATTATAATTACCATTTTTAATCCCGTTTAACTGCTATGTTGATTATTTGCATCTAGATTTCTCAAACTTATCATCTTCATGACTTACTCAAGATCCTCTGCTAGCCACAACCAAGTAAGTCATCTGTTTATCAATACCTACCATTTGACTAGTATTTCAGTTGAATTGTAGACCTATATAGCATTAGTGCAGAGTTAAGGACGAATATTTTCGTTGGCTCAATCAGTCCTTTTTCTAAAAGTATCTTGGTCTTCCAAGCATTTAAAATAGGTATAGCTTGCGCAGCGTAGATAGGTAGATGTACTGTATGCCTTTCGTAATTATAGTAAACAATGCATCAGCACTGCAAGCTCAACATACAAAATATTGTTTGCTTCACCAAATTCGACTGATCAGTCTCTGTTGGTGTACAGTCAGTAGTCTATTGGGTCACGAAATGATATTAGAGGCAACAGTTGCTGAGTTGGCGATTCAATGGGAACACTAATGGGTTGCAAAAATGACTATTAGATAAGATGTAAATAGAACGAAGTGCACATCCTGAACACTGCTAGCCATGAATGAAATTTGGTATCAAATGTTTCTGATTTTAGGTGTGGATATTGGTATTACTTTTTTGAAACTGACTAACTTTCGATGAGCATCCGATCATTATTATTTACCATGTTACACTGAAAGTTAGGCAGTAGAACCTATATGAATATTCACATTAAAGAAACAAAACATCAAGCAGAAAATATTTGCTTCATCAAAAGCTCACCATGATAATTATACTGATTCCATTTAGCCACAACTAATTCACCAGATGTTAAGCTGAAGCATATTCCATCAACACGTTTAAAACTGTTTAGCATTTGATCTATATTAATGTTCATAGATTCCGCGGTTGAACTACAACTACTACTTCTAGTAGAGCTGTGATGACTAGTACTACTTCTACTTGTTGTGTTACCACTGCCATTCACCTCAACATTTTCATTATTTGTTTTAACTGGCTTCTCTAATACAGGATTGCAAGACGATTGTTTAGATACTTGTCCTGAAGCATTCGAATACTCAGTGCTGACAGTCCCACTATCAATACTAACACTTGTATCAATTGCTTTAATCAACGATAAACGATATCTATCCCACAGACAAACATGACCTTGATCATCACCACTTGCAATTAAACTGTTATTTCGATTAATTACTAGAACAGTAATTTCATTTCCAGCATGACCAGTCAATTGTTTCCATCCAGTTATTTCCCATAGACCGGCTTCTTTTAAATTGAATTCATTATCTGTAGTATTCTCGTCTTCTTGACGAATATTCGACTTTGAACATTTAGTGCCTGTTTTGATGTTTTTGATTGGTCTGTGTCTATGAAGTTTGGTTTCATCCCATACTGAAATATCTTGATAATCCTGTTATTGTAAAAATAGATATGATACGTGTAGGAATTATGATGTAATACGTTACTCAGTGAACAACTTAAGCAGATTAGAGCAATTAAAGTGGCAAATAACTCAAATATGTAGATTGACGACATATCATCCGTGTGATGATGACAGAAGCGATTCCAGATGATGTGACTTCTATTCAAAAATACAGCTAATTATTCCCGATAAATCTAACCTTTGAAAGAAACATTTGACTCAAAGTGATCCGAATTCTTAAATTATTTTTATCTTCAACTTCATATACATAAATTAGTTGGGCATTCAAGTATATATCAAGCACTGATCATCAACCAACCAATCACATTTATAAACCAGTTCAAGTTGATATTAATTGCGACAAAAAAATTGAATGGACAACCGGCTTGTGGAAATGCTAATTGATGATTATCATGACAATCAGGTAGCGAATCGAGTAAGCAAAAGTCTGAATAACAGACTATAATGTTACTTATAACAATCCAGTTTGTCAGTGGGAAAGGAAACCTCATGACATCAAACCTAATGGTTTAATGCGAATACTCCTGAAAAATCATGAAGTGATATTCATCCCACTGTGGGTCGAGCGATGATCAAAGTGGAAACAAAAACCTAGGGTATGATTAAATTCAAACCAGTAGACTGTGAGTTACCAACTAGTTGGTTTATCGATTGAGCTACGAGTCTCTGCTCCCCAGCTGTGTTTCAGCATGAATTCAGTCAGTGGAATTCAAAATCCATGATGAATGATGAATGACTTTAGTTGCGTTGGGTTCTCTCAGCTAGGTGGAATGCTACTTACTACAGAATCAATTTAGGATGGGATATTTGAATCGCAGGTAATATAACTTGGATTCATACGTACTTAGCATCGAAGGGTGAAAGTGAGAGAAACAATTCATATAGGCCAAACGACAGCAAATCAAGACTATTCATATAGATAAAAACTAGGAAGTTAGTTATTTAACAAATATCAAGAAGTAACAAACAATAAAAATCCATTTTATAACTTACAACAGAAAAACACAATTAGAATCGAAATCAAAATCCACTCAGCAGCCTTGCGTGCATTCGTAGGCAGTGAACCACACCTGTTGTCCGAGAGCTAATGATACTACCTGGCTATCCAAACCTCGGTGGGTGGGGCGAAGCTCGAACCCATGATCCACTGGTTGAAAGTCATCTCCCTATGCCACTGAGTCACAAATCCACAACTAGAAGAAAAGGAATTTTCTATAGTTCAACAACCCAGTCACAACTGTTGGTTTGACTAGATTGATGAAATCATTTATCCTAATGGTGTATCTAAGCTAGATTGGCTGGCTAACTACGAAAATTAACTCGATATTGGAAAATCTGAGAGCAATCACTGTCATAGCGTAGATAATTCATACTGCGAAGAAATGTGAAGACGAAATCTCACTACTAACTGAGCTTCAATGGCACAGAAATGTTTATTAAGGGTTATTAGAAGTTTGAACAGAGCTACTTTTATTTCTTGAAACGGAGGGAGTAAAAGTCATCCCCCAAAGGCCTACGTCGGATTGCCCCAACTAATTTTTGTCATCAGTACTGAAATTTAAAAAGTTCAGAGGAAGCCTTCCAAATACCGACATGCTGCATACGTTTAAGTTTTTCAATGTTCGGAGGCTGTTTTTAAGTTTGACAAGGCACAGTAACTAAGATTATCGCATTACATTTGATACACTTATTTGAATTTCTGATGTTTGTGCATAAACCGTGTGTTTAATCACTTGACCTGAATTAACCAGCTTGTGTCCTGATATGATTTCTCCTGAGAAGTTTGGATAGTTCAGTAACCGGTTACCATGGGTTCATAAATGTAGGTGTAGCACTAAGTTCCAGGATATTACTGCTATTTTATTTGTGACGTACAACAACCGCAGCTGATAGACTAATCTCGATGCCCATAGTATGTTCAGTTATTGAGTGAAAACACTTACTATTGGATGTAAAAGAGAGATAAGCAACTAACCTGTGGTAACCATCCATTATATAGTGATATATCCATTAAATTTGTTGGCAATTGTCTTACGTAAATCGATCCAAGACATGTACCAACAAATAATTGTATGCCTAGACTGGAGCTAGGCGAGATAGCCAATGATGTAATAAATGTTTTTGTCGCGTTCAACTGAATGCACGGACAAGGTAGTTGTAAATTTATGCACTCATATGATTCGTGGTTGCCAGTATCCTTATGATCATCATTATCACTGGCAGAAGTATTATTAACTGACATACTGTCTAAGCGTTTCATAAAAATAGTTAACATTTTATTGTCTACAGAAGATGGTTTCAATTTAATCATATATGGAACAAGAGATTGTTGGTATTGATTATCATTGAAATCTGCTAATAATGATATCCATACACGCGCATTTGATTCACACAAAAGAATTTTCCAATGCCAGGAAATTTCAGCATTAACATAGGGTGTTGTAGTTCTATCAGTTGAAACAGAAGACGATGGAGACATTGATGAGGAGGTCGGCAGATAATTATTGGTGTAATAATCCATATTGAAATCTACCCAACCATCCCAAGAATGATAAAGTTCATCACTAGTTAACGAGGTTATCTTGTCCAGTTGGTTTGCACAATGACTTGTAGCTGATTTCTGTTGAGTGAATTCACACCAAGCTGAACCAGTTAAATAACTCATAAGTGGGATTTCAATATCTGAATGACTCACTAAATCCCCTGTTGTTGTTGATGCTGAGGACGGCGTTGATGACTTTATGCTCACCAATTGCTTCTTCCAGATTATTCCACACTGTACTCAAAACGGAGAGGAGAAATTATTCCGTAATTAAACAATTTAAAATTGAAACCTATTTGGTAACTTTACGTCATTGTTCATTACGGATATAGTGTACAGTAGGTGATTGATACACCACTGGTCAAACAAACTACATAAACCTGGATTTTCTACCAACCTCAAGCAACATCCATGGGCGATTAGGTTACTTAAAATAAGGCAGAATTCTGCTTGATAGCCGAAATTGATCGGTGAAAACTCGCGCAGTGTAGTTCAGAATCGATCTCAGTGGCACAAATGTCAAACTGCTCACCAATTACAAAATCTCTAACAGAACATTGAGTACCAAAAGAAAATGAAGTGATTCGTTGGTAGTTTACTCGTGAATTCCTTGCAGAAGGCCTAACATATTAATCATACTCTTCTAACAATAAGGATCTAGAATCTTTAATACTGAGTAATATGATCGGATAGAAGGCATACTGATTTACAGATCTCGATAGTCAAATTTAGACACTTTAAACATAGGACGGCCGTTTTTCTCATCTTAGTACGAACTCAACAGTTAGTTTAAACAGAAGAATTCAACTGAAAAATAGCTACAATATTTGTAAGCGATTCGTAAAATGTTCAATCGATTTTTGGCATACTTGCTTATCCAAGTCAGCCAACTAGATTGAGTTGAATTCCATTTTGGTTGATTCATTATCACCTAATGGAACACTATAATTTACTGGATTATGTTTCAGAAACAATTTATTATCCACAGTCATATCAAGATATATGACTGTGGAAACAAATGTCCAGTGCCTCAATTACGGGGATCTGAGTAATGAGATCCGCGGATCAGTACCAGTGGTTTCTAACTCTTCATGTTGTTAAGCGATATATTTTATTAGTTCATAAAACTATTGTCTCAGAGTTCATACCTTGTGATCTTGTCCAGTTGATTTCCTACAGAAAGCCCATTGACACCGAAAGTGAGTAGTTAAACAGCTACTCAGTAAGGAAAAATTTCAACGCGGTCTATTCATTTATTAGATAATTTGAGAACTAAGCAGTATTCGATAAAATGATGTGATTCTTCTTTGTTACGAACCTGTTCATTAACACCTACGTAGCGTTTCGTCAACAACTAATCATACCGTAAATCATAGTATGCATATATAGTTTAACCAGTAGGTGACCGATGCAGTTGTGTAGTCCCTAATGTTGAGCGCTAAGCACGAACTAGCGTCTATCGATCAATTTGACTATGTTCATAATTGTTGGTACTCATCAGCAGGACACAGGAGCAACCTGCTATTCTATAGATGGTTCGAATCTGTCACACTATACCATAAAATCATTCAGGTCACAACTGAACCCTTGTACGACTGGATTATGCACACACATTGGTCACTAGTAGTGGCTAGACGATGCAACTGGCTATTCCTTAGTGTAAAGCGCCGATCAAAGTCTATCGATCAAGCTTAGTTTGTCAGTTAATTAGTTTAATACATACTTACAACATTTAATTGACAAGAGTAGAAAAATTACTTACATATTCTATTTGTGGACTACCAGCCCAAGTACCCCATTTTAATCCAATCACAGTTTCTAATGGAGTATTATCTAATCTTGAAGGAGAAGTTGTTCGTATTAATTTTCCAGCATTACTAGAATTACATGATTGTAATGTTGAACAATTGTCATCCTTTTCTTGAGTGGCCGATGTTTCAAAGTTTGGCAACAAGTTCAACACACCTCTACCATAAATCGATAACTGACTGTAAGTTAGAGAAGTAAAAGTAGGTAACAACATAAAATATTAGCTTCAAGAATTTAGTTTGTTAACTGACTGTAATATGTGTATTTTCAAAATATCGTTTGTATTTTGTTTGTGCATGCAACAGATATTACTTTAAATTGTGTAAGTTGCAGTAATATTTTATTATCTAGGAGTTAAACATTCACCCTGATGTTCCAAAGCTTTTAATCAATATTATTCGAAACCGTTATTATCTATGGTCTGCTTGGAAAAATCCCTCGATAGATTCACAAATTACATTTTAATAAAATTGGATTAATAGTTAGCAGTATAATCCAGGACAAGTGTTTCAACTCGTTTGGAATTCATCAAACGGACGGAATATGCATCTAAGTTGAACTGTTATTCATCATTGAGTACAGTTAGAATGAAACTAACAGGAATAGGAAACCATCCGTACAGAAAGTCGATTAGTTCTAAAGTATAAACTAAAATAAAGAGGTAAAAGGAAAGAATCACTATTTGAGAGATGTTTATTATTGTAGATAGTGAGCTCACGTTTAAGTTGATGGGTCCTGATGAAGCCTCTTAATGGAAGAATCAGCATATACAGACGCAGAGAGCTAACAAGTTGAATACAAGGAAAACGATAGGAGAGTCATTAAATACTATTGGTTTCCAGATTGTTTTGACAAACAAAAGTCAGTTAAAGGCTAGTCGAAACTAATTGATGGATCGGTAGATGAGTTTTGGCCAGATATAGACATTTTAAAATTCTATGCTCGTATTGTGATTGAAATAGGCCCTATAAGCTATTTCTTCTTATACGTTAAATACAGAATTAATTGCCAGTGAGTTGGGCTCTGAAAATCTCGTAACACTATAGCTATTCGCACGATTTCATATCTCTACATAAAAGCTCATGACAATCAGTAATTGGTCTTAGTGTAGAAATTACACATTGTGAAATAAAATAATCCAATTTTAGTTTACTTATTGAATTTTGTATAGAACAAAACGGTGAACTTTAATTGACAACGTCATCTTAATTTATATTACAGTTGACAGTCACTTGTGCTAGTCAGCAAAGTCTGTGAGATGAACTGAAGTAATCTAAAGAAAGAAGAGCGAAGAATCCATCTGGTGCTAAAAACTGAGGAAACCTATTAATTGAAATTTTGAATTTGAATTTTTCACTTCCAAAAAGAAAGTGATCACTAAACTTTACAGCTATGGCTTAGAACTATCGCTTTATCTAGTTGGTTAGTGAACTCTGATAATCACTTTTTATACAAGCAATATCAATAATCAATTTGGATTCATCGTTATGAATGTTTCAATCAACCAATCAAAACCTAATAATATTTTACGATAATTTGAAGTTGAAGATGAGGACTAAACAGTTTTATAAACGTATATCCTAATAGGTCACACTAAATTTCGTACTAATAAAAGTTTGAAAAAATATCCATCTGAAAAACATCTCAGTAAATATTACTTACCGACAAGGATGAGGGTATTTGTGAAATAATTGTTTAGGTGTCTGGCCATAGTTACTAATCATAGCTTCGACAGCTTGAGCTAAAAGAGGATCTGCTATTGTATCCACGTCAATTGCACCGAAGTAAGTCTAGTATAGAAATAAAATAATGATCAGGGTTATCGGTGTACTACTATGAGTAGTTAATAAATATCACTTGAAAAATTATGGTATTAATTATGCTGCATAGGGAGTTCGTGCAACTCAGGTTAAAAGTAGTGGCGGATTTACTGCACCCCATAAGATGAGTCATTCACGACACACCACTGGTGATTTCAATCTAAAAACCAGAAGGAATAAACTCAACTTTGTTCGCCAACCCACGCATGCATGAAAGAAGTACAGGTTAGAACTTAACAAGAGATCCAGTAAGAGACGGATTATTTACCAAAGAATGAGTTTCATAGATTAAGTTTTGTGATCATGATGACTTTTCCAATTCAAAGGCTATTAATAGTATTGATTCAGTGAAATGCTTATCAATTCTTCTTTATTTCTTTTACCGTGACATTATTTAATTCACTGCTGGGTACAGACAGAATTATGAAAAGATAGTATTGCCAAACCAGGTTAACTCAGCTAAATGTTGTAAAGGATAAAAATAAAAATGCAGAATATAATCTATTTCGACTGCAACGAAAAGGATAAAAGATTTGAGAAAATGTATCAATTTGTTAGTTTTTCATCAGCTTCACCTTCAAATGTACTAAATGCTAACTCTACGTCTCCTAGGAGTTGTCTAATGTTCAATCTACGCTTAAGGATAGCTTATCTAATCTTAGCTTCTCATCTTCAATATATCAACTTAACTGTTCTTGTGGAATAAGTTACATATGGCGTACAGTTAGATAGGTAAGTCTCTAGATATAAAAACTTCAAAGGTGTGGTCTTAAAACGGCGAAGTTAACGCGAATGAAGGTCTCTCTTAGAAGCCTCGTGGACACAGGACACCACATAGGTGCTAATATAGCCTTTACTACTATGATATACCGTATTCAGAAAACATTATCACATGGAGTCCATCAACGTCTTCTCCACATAGATGAAGCTGTAGCAGTAAGATATACCAAACCTGAACTCCATATTCAAATTATTCTTGTTCTGAATAATCAATGGGAACCTTAACATTCATTATTCGTCTGACGCCGTGTTTTATCACATTCAAGTCACCACCATATTCAGTATACGTATATACGCAATTTCTTCGCTATCCAATTTATAACTGTTCGTACATCGTTATCATATTATCTGCGCAGCCAGTACTTCTTGTCCACATCCAAATCGAACTGAATTGCTGAGACATAACGTCACATTCCTTATCGATGAAGCTATCTGAGATAGTTATGGTTTGACGAACTGGTTGGTGTTATTGGTACTGGATGAGATCTAATCAACAGCTGAATCTTGTAGCTCAGTTGGTATAACACTAGATTGGCAATCCAGAGGCCACTAGTTCCAATAAAATAAAGATACTAAAATTGTACTCATCTCCACTCACATCCACATTGGCTATTGTTTCATTATAACTTCATTTGTTATTATTACTAATAGTATTTACCTCAATAATTTATCATCTTGCTTGGATAGCTTATCCTCAAAATGGTTAAATAACTTGCTAATTATATTGCTTATTATTATCTCATTTATTCAAGAATATAGGACGCCTTCTGTCATATAAAGTTGAACTGAACTTCATTATCTTGACTTTATTTTTTGTATTGAAATGTCATTTTTGATCAGTAAAACATTAATTGGCATCCCAAGATCCTTTATATACAGTATGCTAAGATATGCTTTAGTGAGTATTTACTTATTTATTCAGGCTGTATGCAGCTGAAAAAAGTCCAATGAAATATTGTCATAATTTTACCCTGTAAATGTTATTCAATTTCAATAAAAGAAATAAAGATATGAAATATCTGCGCATTCAGGACCATACAAGCGCATGTACACAAACAACCACCAAAACAAAATTACTATTCAACTTACATATGGGTGATACAGATTCAAGGCATCTTTAGCATTTTTTCCGATTTGCTTAAAACCGAATAATAAATCAATCCAATGTGATAAATTCACTGACACATAATCACTTTCTAATGCAGCTCGACAAATAAGAGTAAACAACCGAGGATCATTTTTGCACCAACTACATAATTAGAAGGAAAAAATAATGACAAAAATTGTGGATTAAAACTGATAATCAAACACTGTAGCGTCATCTTTCATAATATTTCTTAGACATTATATTAGGATGTTAGTCAGATTATCAACAAAGATTAATTGAAACCTATCATCATTGATCATACAGATCTAGAAATACGAAATTATTAGGCCCTTTAGATATCCATATGTGGGCTTATGGAATCGTTTTGCCGGATTGAAATCAGCTAACTATTGAAAAGCTGTTTCGTTTTAGTTCGGCACTTCTCAGCTGGGTGTCACTATGACCCTGGGAGTGATAGAAAGTTAAGGTAGTTAGGTCTCGTGGAATGCACGTGACCAATCAACTACTGGGTTAAAACCTGATGATACACGTTTCTTATCTCTGTCAAACCATGACATTGCACAACCACCATCCAATGCCACCAGTGAGCACTCATCACATCAGCAACTTCGTTGAATTCAAAGGTTATGACTTTTCATTAGAACCTCAGGATACTTAAGAGTCATTCAGTGATTTTAAGCCACCTTTCGTACGAACTCTAAACCACTAGGGATTACTATCACACTATTTAAGGGTAGTTCCAATCAAACTGAAATTATTTTATACCCCTTATTAACTATGCAAGGTTTTCCACACGTAATTATTTCCCGAATTTGAAGATATTATGAATAGGGAACTCACCATAAGCTCAATTTTAATTCTACTTGAGCTGATTTATTACATATATATCACACAATGGGACAGTATCATTTACTGGATTACGTTTCGGGTACAATTTATTGTCCATAGTCATCTTCATACACCAGGATATGACCATTGACAATAAATTGTGTCCGAAAAGTTATCCAGCAAATAATACTGTTTCACTGTGTGATACATCTGATGAATCAATTAAAATGAAATAACATTCCACCACAGTGTCCAAGTTTTACTCTTATACTGAAGCTAAACATTAGTTTAAGTGTGCATACCTTAATTATGAAACTCAACAATAACTTTGATTTCCTAAACTCTGATGTTTAGTTACGTGTTAATTTCCTGTCCCATTTAAGTGAAAAAACAGAAAGCAATCATTAATTCGGTTTTCTCTTCAATACCATCAGTAAATTCGCATTTCTCATTTTCTAGAATCAACTTTGAACAATCGCCACGCTATTCTATCTAGAATAAGAAAATAGAATGTTTCAGAAGCTTCGTCCCTCGAAAAGCAGCTCGCCTCAGACTGATCATTTCAAGAACCATTAAAATCTATAGTTCAACCACCTACCAGTTTTGAGAACTTTCTGCTTAATAAGCTCATTCCCAGTACATGTAAGTACGTCACATGAGTACTTCCATCTTTTTGGTTAACTTTACGTGTGTACGGGTTCGTATCACCGCTGAAGTCTGAATCAGTTGGAAATGGTGCCTCTACTTTGAAGAAAGACTAATAAGAGAGTTTACATTTATAGACATCACCTCCTAATACATGCGAAAAAGTTACAGAGTAGTTTTTAAGCTGGAAGAACGAAGTGTTAGACAAAAAAAGTAAGAAATCATATGCATCAAAATTTGTATGGAAATTGTATGTTTTAATATTCTAGCTGGGGGTGTAATCCCAAATAATATATTTGTCCGAAATATCACTAGATTGTGCTATTGATAAATGTAATTATGTATAATAAACTTATTTCAACACGACTGTATCAAGGAACAGAGACAGACTTTTAAGTCCTAGGTGGTCTTCGCAGTTTATCGATCACATAGTGCACTGTGATAGGATGGAAAGGAGTGAGACACTGCGACTTCTTTTGTACAGAGTTAAATGTTCACTGTCAGTTGGAGAAAATGAGTCATGTCAAGCTTGTACATGTGTTTTGCTGATGAATGCCAGTAGACATGAAACCAGAGTTCAGGAATTTCCAAATACAGACGTTGTATATCCAAAAGACATACAACTCAACTAAGTGGTCTGATTGCAAGCCCAATGGATAGAATTTGATCAGCGCCTAAAACTTGACAGTTATTCATCATAAGACAGCTAATTCAAAAGATTGGTCATTTTCCGAATACTTTATTAGCAAACTTGAAACATGTATTCAAGGATATCGCTCTGAATCTGCAAAAAAATAAGTTTTTGGTGTTATGCTTTAGGTGTTAAGGGAAAAAAAGCCCAGATATATCCATTGCCCACTATTGACCAACTCTTGCGAAGATAAGTTTCCACAAGATTGTGAATATACCGAACTCAAGATCCTTCAACAGCCCAACGTCAAGCACTTAACACAGTTTCATCGGTAAATTGCCGTTTAGTTCCGAACTCAAAGTTCAAAGAGAATAAGGAGATAGATGTAGGAGCATACAGTAGAACCAGTTGCAAAGTAATAGAAACGTATCTCTTGCATTTGCTACGAATCAATATCGATTAACAATGAAACGGTATAACTTTAATAAACTCACGGAGGTAATTCTACACAATCTACACTATCACCGGGTTGTCTACAACCCAACTTTAATCCACTGCGATTAATAAACATTTCTGGTTGAAAATAGAATTCTGGAACTAATTCTTTAACGCATGAAGCAGATGTAGTAGCTAGACGCCATGTAGTTGCAACTGAATGGAATAAACGATCTGGCACATCAAAATTATTATCTGAAACAATTATTAGCGGTAATTTATGGTCAAGATAATAACAATAGTATTAATAATGGTAATATGATAATAATGATAATGATAATGATAATAATAATAGTAATAATAAGGATAGTAATTTCATAGGTTCAGCAAAATACCGACTAACTAAAATATGTGACCGAAAAGTAGTTTTCTAAATGTGATAATGAAGCAATAGGTATTTAATCTTGTCGACCGTTTCAATTACTTAAAGAGTTGTATCTGATCTGATGAGTTGACTGTCGACTAAGCATCGGTATGAATACGCAAAGTTTAGCTAGTACCTCTGTGATATTGATAGAATACATTCACACTTATCAAAGTGGTGAGCATACAGCATAATGAAACAGTCCATGTAGGTAGATAATATCCGAGGACTATGGACTTTCTAAAATGAGTGTAGATAAACCACTTAGTGAAGGACTATTAGACTAGGTGTGGTACTCGAAAAGAAACTAGGTATTTAACTGGAAAAAAATAAATGCTTCCTGGTTGCAGCTCGAACAACAGAATTAGTAGTAACTGGAAAGCTTAGGTGAAATGGCATGGAACGCAACGCAGTGATGCAGGTAGATTAACCATTTATGCTGTCTTACGAAATGAACATTCTGTTATTCCAAATGCTATTTTTCTTTTGATGGATTATTTTATAGACTTCTTTAGGATAAGAAATCAGGATCTTATTCACTTTATTCCAACATACAAGCTTCACTATCATACTCATATAGAAAATTATACGATGACATCTACTGGCTGAAAACCAAAATCGCAGTCGATAGAACCACAATATAGCAAGAAATGATAATGTAACCAGATGAAAAGTTAGGCTGATATTCATTGAATGATTTGTACTTCAGAAAACTTATGGCAGCAACCATCAGTTTGTTAAGACTGACATAGAGACACATAGATTCAAAATTTACTTCTAAAGGGTATCAGACAGCAAAATAAACGTTCCAATGCCTCTATTTGTCCCTGCAGATACATACATAAATGTATGAAACCATATACTAACACGTATTTTTATTTAATAACGCCTGTTACCTTCAACGGGATAATTTTATTTGATACAAATGAGCCAAAATTTACATATATGTAAGAAATAAAACTACAAATAATACCGAAAATCTACTACCAGTTACCTTGAAAACGTAAATGACGAAATGTATATGGTGGTAAACGAATAAGAAAATGTAATACAATTGCTTCATTTGAACAATGAGCTGGATAATGATACGGTGGGCATGCCGAATTTGATGATATAACCAACGAGTCAGATTGTTTTGATTGCTTTGCCATTGTTTCAGGATGGGAAGAAGACAAACTTTTCAACATAGATTCCGCTTCATTAAAACGTGCTGCTACAGCTGTAGCTCTATCATCTTCTTGTACAGCTATTGGACGATTAAGTAATCGAAACGTAAACGGTTTTGTTAAGTCCAACACTGCACTTTCATAATCCTAGAGAAAAATGAAGTGAACAGGAAAACGTGATTCCCTTTATAAACAAATTAGTAACTGACTTGGTAGTGGCTAACACTGGAGCCCAAGGTAAACTTTTCATTCTTCTTAGGACTCAACAACTGGATGTATCTACACCCCATTCCGTTATGATGTTCTCTATGAGACTCGAGCACAGCACCCGTTACGCTCCGAGTATTACTGAAATAAACGAGTCACTTTTTATACAACGGGTGTTAATTTTTAAAAAAGTCTATGCCTGCTAAAATCAAGAATTAGGAATTAAAACTTTCTATAAACAAAAACTGATGGCTGGCGTATAAGAGATGACAGTTATGACGCATTACTTCAATGGATACTCCACTGGTACCTACGGTGATGAATGATGGCCTCGATTTTTAGTGAGAAAACTACCAACGTTGGAATACAGGTAAATTCAGTTAACAAGTCTGGAACAGGATGCAACGCATATCCTACACACCCATCTGCTAAGCAAATAATTTCTGAATGAAAGTCGAGGATGTACCGATGCACCCATTCAGCATATCCATATGTCAGTATAGACCAATTAATTCAGTTCAGTAAAAAAAATAACGGAGTTACAATCATAAATTTCAGCCAAATGAATTCTGCTGTTCAAATAATGGAGGCAAATCTTCGTAAATTTAACACTGAACTAAATCAGTGACAGATCGGTAACGTTTTACTCTGTTTAACATTGAGGAAAAGAGACTATGCATGGAAGCGGTATCAAAGCAATCAACAGGTTATATATATATATATATATATATATATATATATATATATATATATATATATATATATATATATATATACTAGTCCATTCCTGATTAGTGATCAGCCCTATGCTATCTGTCCTTAACTCATCCTATTAGTCTAGTGTTTAAAAAGTTATTAAAGAAACTGAGTAACTCGATAGAGAGACAGTGAGTAAGTGAAATCGGTCAGTAGGAATTCCCATTGACCTAGGTTTAGAGATTGCGGGTAGTAATCAGTAACGCGAACTCAACCAAAAGTATTATCACACCCAATCATAAAATCGAACCTACATTAGACAGTATCGCTATTAAAAGTGCTACTAATGAATTTTCTAGGCTTTTGGTTATGCCAATCTGTGACTTAAATTATGTATACTAGTGGGTTTTCGGATAGAAAGCAATGCCAGGTTTTCAGTCTTGTGTGCTGACTGGTACTGATGAATTAAATTCGATAATCGACCAGCAAGATAGATGAACTGACATTCCCGTTACTATCATCCGTAACCTAAAGAGCTAATTGCTAACGCCTCTGGATTCAGTACTGAATGGAATAGATAAATTCCTGAAGACTGTATCACTTCTGTTTACACATAGCTTATAGCAGAGCCATTTCACGCATGATTTATAACGTTTAGATAGTTATTGAACAAATAATAATGCTTTATATAGCAGTATCAGTAAAGAGTTAATAAAGCTATCAGTCTAAGTTGCTCTATGCAGCTAAAAAACGCAACTCATTTATTGCAGCAGAATATTTGAGTGCCAATATTCCATCAACTGTGCATCGAAATGAATGGCCTTAAGGTATTACTTATAGTAATGCTTTGTGCACTAAGCTAATGTACTCATATAGGCGGGTATTATCGATAAGATTAAGTGTTGTGCAGGGCATACCATTCTGAGTTATGTTAATTACTACTCAGTTGATTTTAAACTGGAATGTTTACAACCTACAACACTTCAATGCGCGTTGTTCGACCATATATTTCGTTAGACTAGATCGGTTCAGACTGAGAATGCTTCAAAACTCTCTGTGCTGAATTACCCTGCTATTCTTAAGGCTGAAATTTTGTGACATGAAGAAGAGATTGGATAAGTGAAGATAAGAAGCAAAGGCCATGTTCTTGTTCAATGGTAGTCACAATCAGGACATATTCGAAAATAAAGCGAATGTAGCCTCATTTGTAATTTAAAATCTCACTAATCAGCATCATAGTAAAAATGATATGATCAAGATGTTAGATTAATGTCATATTCATCAAATCAACGATGAAAAATAACCAATTATACACTGTTTAGCTTTAAATGATGCCAAAGTTGTGTCGCGTTTGTAGCAGTTTAAGATGATGGAGAATATTTAGAGCTCAGGAGAATGATTTTAGCGGTCTTGTAGTTTTTGAGTAGGATTCTTCAATCGTAAAGTTTTCACTAGCAATCTAGAGAAAGTTAACAGCACAGACTTCAGAAAAAAGTGGGTTAAAAGAATTTCCCCAAAAGTGGCTTAGTTATTAGTCCTCATTACTCAGAATGGGAATGTTAGTATTCGAATCCAGGATAAGCGATCTGTCCTATTTGGTACTTATCAGCAGGGCGTACTTACATCGCAGTGAAAGATGGCCGTCCTGCTGAGATGAAAATTCAGCTTGGTTTCTATTAATAGCCATTATAAAGCAATTCATATTTGAATGAATTGTGAGACATTATCTAGGTATCCAATTAGAAAGCCTTTTATCCTACAGAGATCAATCACATCGGTTAAGCAGAGTAATTAACGGGGAATTACAAACATCAATAAACAGAATAAGATCACTTGCTTTTTAACTGAGTTGTCATTTTCTTTAAACAATTTGATCAGCTGATCTGTTGCCCTGTACCTTGATTTATTTTTTGGTGTTCGTGCTTTCTATCAACTGATAGATTGTCTCAACGTCTAGCAACTGCTGACTGACATGAGTAACAGGCCTACCAAACCCTTTTCGCTATTATTAATAAGACTGGCATTGAAAATTTCCAATGTATCTAAGTTCCCATATAGAATCATCCACACAAATCAAAATTAGCATTCGCTGAAATGAGCGAGAATGGAGAACTGTTTGCAGACTTGTGTGCATTCAACGATTTGGTGATTGGAGTCAGACAGTGTGTACAAACACAAGGATATTGACAAGGCAGCGACATGGATTCGATTCGACCAGATACCAAGACACATTAGAAATCAGATGGACTTCATGTGAATGTGAAGAAAGTGGAGACGCAGCCTACTGGACACAAAATCAGATGAAGAAGAGGAGGGGGTGTGGGTGGTTCAGTCGACTCACTGTCTAGTGCAAGGAACCTACCTTCAAAATCGAGCTGAAATCCTTCAAAGAAGCA